TATCGTAGCTATTTTCAATATTTGAACAACAATTTACATAATATATTGCTAATTCAATATCAACAAATTATCATTCGATTAAACTTGGCAACGTTGGAAAAAAAATAAAATTTTGAGCGTTCTAAATCGTGTTACCAAAAATACCGTACTCAGTCGTATTTTACCGTGCTCGCGCACTTAGATCATAATACCTATTATATTATATATTTAAATGGTACGTCAAGATAGAACATGCAGGCCCGTACTGGTCCACCGGGAAACCGGGAGTTTTCCGTTGCACCCCATTCCCATAGTTAATTATGTTAATTATAGCACCCCTCTGCCCTTCCTTTTTATATTATTATAATTAATTTTTACTATATGTTAAAACGTTCCTATTTTATATGTTGTGGACATCAGGGTCGGACTGGCCAATATAACTGACTAGCAATAGCCAGTAAGGCCCCCTTGTGTGTATGACTATTTGGGGCCTCATCTAATGAACGTAAAAATCATAAGTATAAATATATGAACTGTACATTTATATAATATATTATATTTGTTTAATAATAATCAAACATAAAAAAACAGTGTAGTTTAGACGGACAAAACATGTTTGTGAAGTCTCAACAGTCAACGTTTCTGTTATCGTCTCATCGATGCCAATTAAAAATAATAATATATATGATTGATCAATATTGGAATTTTAGAGGTATTTATTTTTAGAACTGAAAACCTATTCTTATTGCTTTGAGGAATACTTCAATCAGTAGGTACACAATGATAGGTATATTTCCTTGATTTATAAAAATATAAAAATTCTATTAAAAATGATATTGTTATTTCAATATTAATTGTTTATATTGTGTCTTAACAATTAACACAATGTGTTTGATTCTATAGGTACATACAAGCCTTCTACATTTTCCTCCTTGTCTTAAATTAATAAATAACATTTTTAACAATTATCAAAATAGCTGGTAATTACCAAAAATTTTGATAATTTATTATAATCGATCTCTAAAATATACTATAAAATAAATTGTAAATAAATTTAACTAAAGAAAACAGTAAATAAAGATAAATATGGTGTTTTGAGTAACAATTGTAAATTATAAAGTTTATTTATGATCATTTTTTGTGAAAAAAATTTATCAAATTTACAAGAGAGTTATTATTTATCACTATTGTTGACTGTTGAGGCCCTCTCTATAAGTAAACTGCCGGTGGGGCCCTTAGTACCCAGTCCGACTCTGGTGGACATTATAATATTATACAAATTATATGTTTTGTAGTTAGGTATTACTGCACAGGCATGTTTGTTTCCGGCTTGTACCAAAAACAAGCTAATAGAAAATTCTCATTATGGCGTAGCAAAATATTGATGTTTGGTTTAAGGGGATTCGATACCGTGATTTTCTGTTTTTGTCTAACACACGGGTGACATAGTATTTTAGACTTGTTTTTTGCCAAACATACCAATTGATCTAATGAAGCGATAAGAATTCTGAAAACAGATTTGAATTTGTCGTCAAGTCTACTTGAAATCGACTTTCCCACTTTTTTTATTTTTTCTCCAATAATTGAAATACCAAAATTTTTAAATACTCTTTTAGAATATGACATTTTAAAAAATTTGGGGGATAATATCAAAAATGTGGAAAAGTTGATTTCAAGTAGACTTGACGACAAATTCAAATCTGTTTTCAGAATTCTTATCGCTTCATTAGATCAATTGGTATGTTTGGCAAAAAACACGTCTAAAATACTATGTCGAGCACACGCTCGACATAGTATTTTAGTGTGTTAGACAAAAACAGAAAACCACGGTATAGAATCCCCTTAAGATTGTAGCATTAAGTGCCGGTGCCAACTTGACTGACATTATATTATGATCTAAGTTCACCTAGGTACGATGTGTATCTTGGTTTTGGTTATCTGGGTATGTATATTATGTTCGATATTGGTCACGGTTGTTTTACATGAAGACATGGAGATGGAGTTTGAATAAATGTTCAACTTAACGGTAAACTATGGTATCAATATTTATCTATAACGCATGAATTAACTGATCAGAGAGTACAATATCGTTTCACACGATTACGGGAACACGATAGAAGTGGAATAGAGCCTTTATATAATAAATACTAAATTTACGTAATTTTATCAAACCAATAAAGTAATAACTAATATTTACAACTGTCAACGGTATTATACTTGTTATTTGGGCTCGTCTATCGAGTACTATAACATAATAAAATATAATAATATTATTATGTGTAATTATATTGAGTAAACAACGACGGCGGTGTCGTCGGTGTTTTCAATTATCGGCGTGAGATTATTTACTTTTATTGTTTAAATGCGATAACTGTACCTAGTGCATGTTGTTGCATTATAATACGTCTTGTACTTAACTACATAGTACCGGTGAACTCACCTGGGAATATCCGTTGGATAAATGGGAGTGAATTAAATTTAACAGGGCCGGCGCACGTATAAATAGGTACTGCAATTTTAGCTGGCCAAATGTACTATTTTAAAAAATTGAAAAATTATAGTTTTTTTATCAATAAATTATCTTTACAATAATATACTGAGGCTGAATATAGAATTTCAAGTTACTTAATTAATGGGCACTCGACTTATAGTCTATAGGTTTGCATAAAATGTATACATTATTTCATTGAAATTTTCAAACTTTCATAGGTACATTTTTATATTTAACTTTTCACTTAAAACAATAAAATATTTAATTTTTTTTATATAGTTAATAAATTGTCCTAAATTTAATAATGGCACATTATTTTTTTATTTTAATTTCTTAGTTAGTTTTTTTTTTGCATTTGCAATACCTATATTATTTGTCACTTGTATTAATGGTTTTTGAACTTTTGAAAAATTATACCTAGGTACTCAAATGTACTTAGTTTTACCAATTGTTCGACATAATATACCTTATAAAAGAAATTGATAGCTATTTAAAAATATAAACATTTTTTGCATTCAGTTTCAACAGTAATTTACAAAAATGGACGATTTACATAAATATCGAACAAACCACGGTTTTTATATTATTTAATATTCTCACTTAAAAGTAAAAACAATACAACTTTATTTTTTATTTATACATTTATTATATTATTGTCTTAAATGTAATAATGCCAGATTATTTTTTTATTGTAATTATTTTTTTTTTAGTTTTTGCTATGTTTTTTTATGTTGTCAGTTGTCAACATATTAAGTGTATTAATAGTTTTTCTAACTTTTAAAGAATAATACCTAAATTTACGCAGTTTTACTAATTGCTCGATACTATAGGTACATCTTATAAATAAATTGATAGCTATTTAAAAATATAAACATTTTTGCATTCAGTTTTAACAGTAATTTACAAAAATGATAAATAAAAAAAACCGTGGTTTTTACAATAGTAGGTACGTAATATTTTAAAGAAAACTATATTTGTAAAATACTATTTATTACCTACTTATTAGTTATTAGTTTCTTCAAAAGTTAAAAAACTATTAGGTAATACACGTACTATTTTGACAATATAATATACCTAGCAATTAATACTAAAAAAAAATTATTTTAGTAAAAAAAATAGTATGTCATTATTACATTTAGGACAATATTATGATAACTGAATATATAAAAATAAAAATGTTATAGCTTTAAGCGAAAAAATGAAATAATATAAAAATTGCGGATTTTACAATAGGCAAAACCTATATGTTATATTTATTTAAAAAAACCATTTTTGTAAATTACTGTTGAAACTGAATGTTTATATTCTTAAATAGCTATCAGTTTCATTTATAAGATATATCATATATATATTGAACAATTGGTAAATTTAAGTATCATTCTTCAAAAGTTAAAAACCATTAAAACACTTACTATTTCGACAACATAATAATATTATAGTAAATACTAAAATAAATTATAATCTGTCGTTATTACATTTAGAACAATATAATTACTGTATAAAAAAATAGTTGCATCAAGTTCCATCCTCCATATTGCCATTTGACTTCAAACCTCCGCCAATATTTTTAACTTAGTTTGGTGACAATGTGGGGAGGGGAAACTTCATGCAACTTAAAAAAAAAATATTTTTTTTTTATCCTCTTAAGTGGAATAATTTTAAAATGTATGAAAGTATGAAAATATCAATCAAATAATGTATATATTTTAAACAAACAGCTCTGTAATAAGTTGAGTATTAATTAAATTATTTGGTATTCTATACATTAACCTCAAAATATTGTGAAGATAAATTACTGATAAAAAAAAACATATTTTAACATTTAAGTCATATTTTTAGTGTTAAAAAGTTTTTTGGCCACCTAATAAATTGTCTTTCACACCACTCAGTAAAACTCGATATTTCAATGATAAATCATTGCAAACGATGAGAAGCAATTCTGAGTGGAGACGATCTGTAATTCTAATACTTAAAATAATTCGAGATTTTAACGAATATCCTCAACATTTGAAATTCAAACGCTTACCCATAAAAAATATTATCTTGAAAATTATTTTAGATATTTTTTAATTCCTATAAGAAAAATATGTAGTAACTTTTATTACATTAAACATTTTTAAACTTTTTAACTCACAAACAAAAATTGTATCAAAGGTCAAATAAAAACGAATTAAAATGTTTTAAGTCTATAAATAGCTAAAAAAAATTCTAAAATATTTTGAATATTTTATTAAGTATATTAATATGTGGAAGATATTTATCTATGTAAATAATTATTTTTTAATTTTACGTCACTACGTTTATTTTTTTACATTACAACAATAAAACGAAATCTATTTTGTCAGAAATCGGTATTAATACTAAATATTCCAGTTTTTATTTTTAAAAATTGTTAGTGCATGTATGTATTTTTAGGATTTTAAGAGCATAAAAAAATTAATATAATAAACGCAAATATTTAATTTTTTTTTTTGTACTTTAATCCTGCCCATTATTATTATTATTGTTTTAGTATTTTATAGAAGTATACCTTCCGAAGGAGTCGGCCCGACGGACCGCTCCGTTGTGGCCGACCACGTTGCAGTTGATGGGCTCGCACTTTGGCAAACAGGGCGTGACCAGTGCCTTGAACTGGACAATATCAGACGTGGGGAACTTGAAAGCGTCAAATGGCGCCTCCAGTATCTTGACAGTGCCTCCGCCCCCCGTATCCACGGCCGATATCGGTCCCATGATGGCTGGGTCCGTGGGACAACCGTCGCCGTCGATGAGCAGTATCTCGCTGGTGTCCACACCGTCCAGAGCAATCAGTTCCCGGACGAATATCTCGTACGGCGAACGGTCGTCGAGTATATGGAACCGGAGACTAAGTGGGTCACCCACCTGCGCGGCGTGTATGTCACCGCCCGCCCTGTTTGTGATCCTCATCATCACCGTGGGTGAAATTACGAACGCCGTCTCTTCCACACCATTGCCTCCGATTCCACCTCCACCGCCTCCGTTTTTGTCGGGTGAGTCCAACTCGGCCCCGTCGGGTTCCGTAGCCGGAGCCATCGCCAACTCGATGCCCTGGCCCACGCTCCGGTTCTGAAGGTCATACGAACACCGCACCGAAAGTCCGATGTCCTGGCCCGTGACGATCTGGTCGTGGTGCTACGACGTTATTAATGTAACAGTTAGTGATGCAAGTCCAGTAAATTTACCAATAAATTAATTACATAATACATTAATTTTACCGTTCCAAAAATCAAATGACCCCCTCAATCTGTATTTTTTTTTATATATTTTCATAAGCTAATTATGGTAATAACACAAATTTAGATTTGTATAAAAGTCAATGGCCGATAACTATAAGTGGTAACACCAAATTTATTCAATTGTAACAAATAAGCTGTATTTATTATTCCTGTTAAAAGACATACATTTTGAATAGGCAAGTACCTAATTTAGGTAAGGACAGTGGCGTAGCCAGGATTGTGAAATGGGGGGTGTTTAAGTATAGATTAAAAAAAAGTTTTTACAGTTTTTGTATATAAATAAATTTAGGGTTCGGGACTTGACTTGTTGCACTAAAAATAATCGAAATATGCTTAAATATATTCAGCTACATTTTGATATTATTTTTGAAAAATGCATATCACATATTACAATTTTGGTAATAAAAAACTAAAAAATAAGTATGTATATAAACATGATAAAAATAATTTATACACGGCTATACTAATTTGAGTATTGTAGGTACCTATACCTATTGATTAATATGATGGACAGAGGATACTTGCATAATTTGAACATTTTTAAACTATTGTGAAATAACACAACTTAATTTTTAAAAATACTGCCATTAAATACTAGGTTAATAAATAAGTAATAACAAATAACGTGATATGCGAACAAGGTGTTAAACGAACACGTATCTACTGATTTTCATTTTTTCCAAATATAATATTTTTTAAGATGTTTTTCAATGTTATATAAGAATATGATTTTTCCCGACAATTGAATCTACACTCAAATTAAAAAAATTAAAAATAAGCTAAAAATCACTCAAATATGCACTTTTCCTATGACAAAATATGCAAATTCAATCTTTGTATTTAATTTCACCATTTCATAAGACAAATTTATAGCTTATTTAAAATAATCTAAGACCACTACAGTAAAACATATACAAGCAATACTGAACCCTATAAACAATATATTTATTGGGGGTGGGAGGTCAATGGGGGGGGGAGGTTAAACACCCAAAACACCTCCCTTGGCTACGCCACTGGGTAAGGAGGCACATTATTTTCTTTTTATAGTAATAAAAAATATATTAATATATACTTTTTCTTTATAGACGAGGTACATTCAAAATCAATAAGTTGGCACACAAAAAAATATTTACCACCGTCCACCAATAATTTATTTTGATCACTATAGGTAGGTTTTTAACTGTTCCCGTTGCTAAAATTTGGCACCCGGGGCATTCGCTCTAATCAACCCGCCCCCCTAAATGAGCCACTGCACGATTGCGCGTACCTGATTTTGAATATGTATGGGCAAATTTGAAGATAACTTAATTTTAAAATAAAAAATAAAAATGTAATCATTCATAGAAATGTATAATAACTCAATATATTGACTGCAATAACTAATAAGTGTAAGCAAGTTATGATCGTTTTAAAATGTACATTTACAAAAAGGTCATATAACTCACTTAAGTTTAATAATATCAATAAAAGCATACGTATCTAGATACTAATCTGTATTTATTGCCATTTACTTTTATACCATCTATAATAGTTTCCAGTTGGTATTATATATAATTTAAAACAAATTTGTTCATAAGACACTCCTTAAATGGTATACAATATCTAAATAATTGAAATATGTTTCATAGATCTATATTTTATCTAAAATCTCCATTATCATAGGAAAAAGAGATAAAAACAAGTTCGGTGAATGTGCACCCTGTAGCAGTGCAATAACCGGCTGCAGTCGACCATTACTACATAATAAGTATGATATCCTTACCTGTATAATAATTTCGGTGAAAAACTTTCCTGGTTGATCCTGCCGGACGTCGCAGTTTGGGCTGTGGTAGTCCAACCGGAGGTCGAAGTCCAGGGTGCTCTTCACGTCATTAACGCAAGAACTCGGTCGATTCTTAGCATATACCTTGCCATCGAACAGCCGGTTAGTATGCACGGACGCGACCATGTCCGCGCCGCGGCAGTCGATCTTCACGCTGAAGCACGACGACATCTGGTAAGTGGTGGCGCCGGCTACCGTCAGGTAAGGGCGATGATCCAGCTGCTGCTGTGACAGGCTGGACGTGCTGTGGTGAGAGACGCGGCACACGTTCACACCCGTCTCGTTGTAGTCGAATGAACGGCACTGGAACTCCTTGGACGCCAGGCATATCTCCTTGCACCGGTCTGCGGTGACCACGTTCTCGTAGATGGCGTCCACAGTCCTCAGGAGCTTGCCTCCGACTTCCACAAAGTCACACATTTTTGGTTGCTCGACCACGCAGTTCGACTCCATGTAGTCCACGACGTCTGCCGATCGATTGCTGATCGGTGGGCGCCCGGACACGGTGAACCGGTCCACGTCGTTCATGTAACAGTCACCCGTCTCCTTGTTGAAGTTGACGGACCTGCGAGCACGTCCGATTGGACATACGACAATGTCAGTCCCATTTCGTTTATACAATGACATATTGACATGAATATATTATAATATAAGTAGGTTGTATAATAATATGTATAAATGCTACGCATTACCTATCTGCCATCCTATACTGCATATTTGCTAAGTGAAATATTTGAATATTTAGGTAGTTATAGGTATACTGAACTATACTCTGAATACTTAAATGATAAAAGCGCATTCCCAAAGTATTCTGTTTTGACGTGTCACCCGTACGTACAGGGTACTTTACCCCAAGCAAAAGTATTAAGTGACCAGTGCATGCACCAACAACCGAACTGAAAGATGGAATCACAGTTTTTCTAAATTAATAAGTACCTACCTATAAAGATAATTTTTAATGATAATAATTACTATTCATTGTATAACTTTAAAAAAAAAAACAATTATTAATTGTGTATTATTTAGCATATAATCAATGTTGTAAATACAATTTTAGTTAGGTATGTGTATAATAAACTATTTAATCTAAATATTTATCCTATTTTTATTAAATTCTAAAAAATGTTTATTTTGGACAATTTTAGCATAGATATTTTTGATTATGGACAATTTTACCTCTCACATTTATTTCCAGACGTTTATACCGTGGACATTTTTATATATATTCATATATTTTACTTAGATATGATATATATCATATTGACTCTTGACAGAAGTAGGTAGTCAAATTATATCTGTTATTTTTACACAGAAAGGTAGTTTTTAGTTTCTGAGTGGATTTATTGATTTGTGATATGTGTGGTTTTTTAAATATTTTTTAATTTTTTAATTTTAATTTTTGTTTGTCATTAAATTTTAGGATACTAAAAATTATTAGATTTTCTTCAACAACATCATGGTTTAAATATACAAGGTTATTGCACATAGTCCATATTGTTATCAAACAAAAATAAAATGGCAGCGTAGGGGTACGGTCCATATCTTAGCATACAATATCATAGTATAGCTGGTATACGTCATCCCTTTACGCTGCCATTTTAATTCTTTAATGTGATTAAATGAAATAGTGTGGGTACTATTGCAATAACCTTGTATATTTTAGTCATGAAAAGTACCTATCTTTTCTGATAGGAAAGTGAATCTACTTGGTACTCTTGGAGGTGCCAGGAAAAACAAGAAGAAAATTAAAAATATTAATATTTACTTCATATAGTAGCTATAATAGGTAATATACTTAAGTATCCCTCTACATATGTTTTAATTATTTAGCTATTGTGATCTCTCAAATAAATGGGTTACTTATGCGTATGATAGTAACCCCTGATACTAACTAGTAAGTATAAAATTATGTAAGAAAACTATTTGAGTCGAGATAAAAATGCAATTGTAATGTAATGTAATGTAATTATTAGGGAGCGGTTTTTTTTCAGTTTTATTTTGGGCCGGTCAAAAATTTTGCGTTTTGCAGTTTCCCCACTTACTATACTTAGTAATATTATAGGCTGACGACCGTCTTCGCTCAGAATATTTTTTCGTATACAATGATTTTATATTATTGAATTAAATTTAACACCATCCATTACAGCCACCGTACATCAGAGTGACATCCACTTATCCGATTTTTTTTAAACTTAATACCTAGTTATTGTGTGTTATTGGATTTATGTTTAAATATTTGTATTCTTTAACAAATAAAATAATTTAATCGTTAAAATAATTATAATTACAAGAGCTCTCTTGATAACTCAAATTCGGACAAATCAATATGGATGATCGATTCAGACTGCATTACAATAAAAATATGAATTTATTACACAATTAGCCATTTGGTATTTTAATTTGTATTTCATTTGTCACCAAGCTTTTAAAATATTTCTACTTAAATCTTTACTATATATTTTACATAAGTGTTTATTTTTATACAACTAAATTATTCCTTTACGAGTCATGCTTTAAGTATTAACGTTTTATTATTTATAATAATATATCTTTAAAATATTATGTTTACTATAATATGTAGTTTGTAAGATATATTTATTTACATACAGCTAGCCATTATTTAAAAAGCCCCTCGTAGGTGTATATATTTCACGGTAATTTAAATAATAACTGGTAAACGAATACGGAATAGTATATCAATTATTCATAGTTATTATGTTTCCAAGATGTATATTTAAATCCAAAATTCTTACGGCCACTTAAAACAACAAGAAAAGTAGTACAATAGTACAAATGATACATTAAAATGTGATAAAAAGAAGTAATTTAGAAAACAATAATTACAATAAACACAACATTTTACATTGTAAATACATAAACATTATGAATCTAGGTTGTTCCATTTATCTCGCTCGTGTTGTGTCGGCGTATATTATTTTACACTATTATCAACTAATAATGAGGCACAAAGTATCTCAAACCGGAAACCGGAAAATTATGTTTGATTTTATTTGGAAAACCGCTACATCACTATTGTATAGTTATATAGGTAGGTACTGTCTGTAAAAAATATGACGTGTAACTGTGTAAGAAATATTGATTTTTAATTTTTACTGATTTAATATACCAAATTATCATTACGCGTATAATATATTAATGCAATAAATGCAATATATTGCACATATTAATATGTAACTATAGAGAGTAACTTATTTAGGATAAAAAGAAAATAATAATTGTTAATTCATTTTAAATATAGTTCCTGTAGTTCTGAGTACTAGTTATTTATGACTTATAGCTAGTATAAGTTATACAGGTTAGGTTACATTTTATGTAACTTTTATTGCTTATATTTCAATATTTGGTACTTACAATTTTTAAAAATATGCAGGGCTATATAAAGTTTAATTTTAACCTTATAAGTAAATATTTTATACAATGGTATAGGCCACGGAGTAGTGGGGAGGACTTAAGCTATATTCCTGGAAGGCCAGAAAATAGACAAGTCTTTATCCACTTCCTCATCCTCCTCCTCCTACTCTTCCTCACGCCCTACTAATTAAATTAAAGACAATTTATGCGATTATCTTAAAATATATTTGATAAAAACTATTACTGTCTAATTCACACAGTTCGATATGGGGCATTGACTCAGACTACAAAACAATGTAAATATGAATTTATTATACAATTAGAACTGAATTATTCGTTTACATGACTCGATGACTGATGTTTGAAGGATTAATTATTTATACATTTATAATAAAACTAGCTGATCCCGTGCACTTTGTTTCCCGTTAAATTTACCAACTCTATATGACTCAAACTTTGTTCAATTCGTTATTTAATATTCGGTGTACCTATGGTGTTCAAAATTTATCTTAACTCGTCTGTTGCCTTTGATAAAAATTCTGATTCGCAGCAGTATATTATCAGGTAGGCAATCTACATGCGGTAGATCGCGGACCCCGTGCTGTTTGTACGTAACTTTATAATTTAACTCTAAGTATCAAAGTTATACCAAGTATATGTCACTGAGCTTCGCCTAAACGGCTGAGCTAATTGTGAATGCCGATTCTGTCGACCAATATTTCCTCCTCGTCCACGAAGACGTGGCATTGTTTTATGTACGTAACTTATATGTGAGTATAATACGCTCAATATTTTTACAACAGCACGGGGTCCGATAATACACTGCTGCTAATCAGAATTTTTATTCCGGGCAACGGAAAAGTTAAGATAAGTTTTGAACACCATACACCGAATATTAAATAGCGAATTGAACAAAGTTTGAGATATATAGAGTTGGTACATTTAACGGGCAACGAAGTACACGGAAAAAATATATTTATCATTAATACATTTAGAAACATTTCAATACGTTTCCATAAACCTTTTTTTATATTTACTTGCCTATCATATTAAACGATAAAATTTGATTAATAAATTAAACATAACATTTTCCGAAGGCAAAATAAACAACCAATCACGTGCGAAGCTGTGACGGGTCGGCTGGTATATTATATAATATTGATAGATACATTATATATTAATGTAATAAAATTCGAAACATGAAATCAACGATTGAACTGTATATTAGAGCATTTATTCTAATAAATGTTTAATAAACTGAAATCGATTTTCACCGCAACAATAAGTAGATATAGGTACTCTCTAGCCAGCCGGCAGCCACTCATAATAAATGTATGTACAATAGTCAATAGACGAATAACGATAATATATATATATATATATATATATATATATATATATATAGGTGCATATTGTTAACTGTTAAGTATTGGAACAATGTGAATAAACAATTTCCTTTATATAGGTATTTGCAACATTATGAATTTTAAGAAAATCGGTAGAGACTGAGCAGGAGAGACATATTCTATAGGTACATATTATACAACAATACGAATCATGATTATTGTAAAATAATATATATATTATATATTATATACCTAGTCATTCGGTACATCAAGCATAATCTTATCATGATAAATACAAAATTAGATAATAACGATAATATTATGGTAAATCAAAACTGGCGCATTGGCGTGTGGGAGAGGTGAGCCGATTCTCGGGCTGGTTTGCTGTTAGGTAGGTACCTATATAAATAATTGTTATCATAATATTATCATCGCGTGACGGTCGATCATCATGTATTCATGTCACGTCAAAGTTGATCACTATCCGGCCGACCACCGTCGATATTATAGGTAAATCACTTGTTGCTTTTTCATCGCGAATTGTGTGGCTGATATAGTGATATGACTATATGAGTTTGTGCAACGTGCGTGGTATCATGGATGGCGAGTAAAAGATATAATACGACGAAATCATCATTCGAAAAAGGCGTTCATAGTAGGTAGTACATAATAAGTCGTTGGCATTTACAGTATCGAAGCTCACAGCAGACCGTTATCTTTAGTTATGACTTGGGTTGGATATATCTCAAGAGATATTGTTGACATTTAAAAAGCATAGTGGCACAAATAAGCCTAATTAGTCCCCCATAATATTGATTAAAAATAGTGGGACCTACACTCTTTATCT